CGGCTTTCTTTCCCGACTTCTTGAGACCATACTCTCCACACTTCACCTTCAGAAGGTTCAAGGTGAGCTGGGAAAAATCCTGACTGACTGCCATCTTCCTGTCAACTAATATCGAAACTGTCTTCCACTGCAACGACTGAAAACAAAGGAGAGCCTCGCGTCGAGCAAGTTGCCCCGCACAAAGGTGCGAAGTCGCGATGGCGATCTGGCCGCCATGTTTTATGCATAGGTGCAAATCAAAAATCAGTGCCATTCATTGGCTTTAGCCAGGGAGTCGTAAAAGCAGGGAGTCGTAAAAGCCCTTTTACGACTCCCTGGCTTTAGCTTTGCCCTTGAACTTGAAATCTCGTGCCTTATTCTTTCCTGGGGACTGGTGTTGGATATTGAACGGGCGGAGTTACCGCCGGGATGATGGATGAAGGAGATGATGGCCTAAACTTGGCTGCGCGCATTCTCATTTTCGCGTGGCCTGCCACTAGTGTTTCGCAGATTCACAAAGGGTGTCACAGGCATAGCTGGAGGAAGAAAGGTGAGAGAATCGGTTGCACAGTGCAGATCAACCCAACCATTTGGTTGTTTTAATTTTACTTCGCACAGTCAAACGGGATGACCACCCAATAATAACCCAATAAAATTTCCGAACGTGACATTTTTCTAATTTATTGATTTTCCCGCATTACTAGTATACCACAGTTTGTTGTTCACGTTATTTCGCTTCAACTTTTGAGGTATGAATTCCTTAACTGCAGACTCGACATGCAAGCTCCATACTGACCAGGCTGTGTCAACATCAGGTCACGGCTTGTTTGACTTTGTCCGTTAGGCCGTGTTTGCATAGATATTGTGATGGTGTCAAAGACAGTTAAAGATTGTGTTGGTGGTGTGTCGGGGGTATTGTCCCCGCCGAAACTGAATGCAAGTTTAAGAAAGACTAGGTCTAGTGAGTTATGATCAGAAGTGTCCTGTGGGTCTAGCCCTCAGCCCCTCTGCGGCAAGCAGTAAACTATATTTACAGCAAAAAGCGCAAAACAAGACTTGATTTTTTACGCGGCTCTTTTCACCGTGATAATTATTGTACACGTGTTATGAAAATTTGAAATACTCATGGCAACTGGTGGGTGAATCATTCAAAAATGCAAACGTGCCCGCTGTTGAGTGCAGCCATGTGAATCCACACAGTCACTTTTTCTCGTAAATCACTCGCCGTAAAACGTGCAAGTGGCTGTCGTGTGAATCGCCTATAACCGACTGTCCACAGTTGTCGAAGTATTTTCCAGCACTCACTGTACTTTATTAGAGAGGTTGCGCATAACGTAGTTACGTTAGTTAAAAAAATGTAGTCGATCTACGGAAAGTCTTACGTAAACTGCATGCGCATCTGGGTTCCGCCATACGGAGTTTTCAAATCATAGCAGACTCAGCGGAGGACGTTCAGGTTGGTTGTTACTCTTGAGTTTCGTGCCGTTAGGCAATCATCAGACAACTGATACTCGGGTCTACCTAACAGTGAGTCAGTATGCTTATAAATACATAGGGCCACAAGCATAAACAAATTTAGCGCTAAATCTGGTGTAAGGTATGGGGAGAACAGCTGGCGCGGGCCACGGCGCGACAGTATAAGTGCCAGGAGGGTGGCGGGCAACAGGCAGGTGTGAGCATGAAAGCGCGGAAAGAGGCGATGGGGAGGCAGTGTACAGCAGATGGGTGGAGGTGCCAGGAGGATGGCGGGCAATGGGCCAGTGAGATCGCTAGGGGGTCTTTGGGTGATGGGCAGGCGTGGGCGTACTATTGACATCATGGATGTGTCCTCACAACAAGGCTCCACCATGAGCATGGCAAACTTTACAAAGTAAGCCTTTCAGTGCAAGTCTTGGTGGCATGGTGTCTTTTGGGTGTTTTCTTAGGTTCCAAGAGACGTGGAGCTACATTGTGTGTGTGTGTGTGTGTGTGTGTGTACGTGTGTGTGTGTGTGTGTACGCGTGTGTGTGTGTGTACGCGTGTGTGTGTGTGTACGCGTGTGTGTGTGTGTGTACGCGTGCGTGTGTGTGTGTGTGCGTGTGTGTGTGTGTGTGTGTGTGTGTGTGTTTGGCGCATGCCGTGTACTCTCTTGTGCAGGTACTACACGAATGCGAAACGTGACAAACTCTACAACGTCATTAGCCTGGAGTTCACCAAGACTAAGTTGGAGCCTCTAGTGGAGTCACCCAGTCTGGTACGTCAGCAATCCTACATACACTTGAGAGGATCAAAAGCGTTTCTGCTGTAACTCAGACTTTCACGGTTTTAACCGATCATCAGACAGCAACTTGGACTACAATTTTCAGAAGATATGATTGATATAGGCTGCAATCAATCAATCCTATGCATGTAACGTTACATGTAGTACACTCTTATCTGTTGTATCCGGGCGGTCCAGGACCGGGGGCTCTGCCATTCATTTGGAAATGTTCGTAATTATGTACATCTTGATGTGGAAGGCACGTAGATCTGGCATATTACGTCACTCCTGGTATTTCCACAAATTGGTAGAAAAGTAGTAATATATCCACTAAAACTCACTCACAGGGTTCCCCGTAGACCAAGATGCCCGTAACTTGGAGGTCCGGATAGGAGCCGTGAGAAATGAGTGCATTGTAGTTGAGCACTCCACTGCACTACTGTCTCCCCTCTATGACGTGTTGGGGGGGGGGGGGGGGGGGGGTTTGGTGGGCGTTTGAGGCTCATGTCATACATGATCATGCTTAGGCTCGTTTTGAGAAAGTATGAATTTTTAACTCCTGATTGGTTTGTGCAATGTGTTTATATTGGTTTATCAATGCCCCATCACAAGCTGTATAGTATGTATTCGCAACCGTGTATGAATTGCTCATTTGTCTTTTCTTCTTCCTACTGCTTGCTTGCTGCGGCTGCTGTTGCTGTTGTTGTTGTTGTTGTTGTTGTTGTTGTTGTTGTTGTTGTTGTTGTTGTTGTTGTTGTTGTTGTTGTTGCTGTTGTTGTTGTTGCACGCAGGTACGTCATTTGGATTGGGTGGACTTGGTGTGGTCGGAAACATTGCGCGCTTTGCAGCAGGAGGCCACCAACCGACTGGTCGACATGAAATATCCCAAAGTGCAAAAGTATGTGTTTTGTTTGTTCTTGTTGATGGTGCTGCTGCCGCCGGTGTTGCTGTTACTGGCCGACTGCTGGTACTGTTGATAGTACTACAGGTGTAGCTGCCCTATTGCTGGTGCTTGTGCTGCTGCTGTTGTTGGCTTACTGATTGTGCTGCTGTTGCTGTTGCTGTTGCTGGCTGCCCTACTGCTGGTGGTTGTGCTGGCGCTGCTGTTGCTGGTCTACTGTTGTTGTTGGCTTACTGATTGTGTGGCTGTTGCTGTTGCTGGTCTACTGCTGTTACTTGTGCTGTTCCTGTTGCTGGCTTACTGATGGAGCTGCTGTTGTTGTTGCTGGTCTCCTGCTGTTGCTTGTGGTGATATGTGTGTATGTATGTATGTATGTGTGTGTGTGTGTGTGTGTGTGTGTGTGTGTGTGTGTGTGTGTGTGTGTGTGTGTGTGTGTGTGTGTGTGTATGTGTGTGTATGTGTGTATGTTTGTTCGTTGACAGGCTGGATTCATGCAGTTCACACTCCTGTGGATTGGCTAGTGTTTGGTGGAAACTTTCTGCACAGTTTCAACATAAGCGGTCAGCTTGCCGTAGCGGACATTGAAGAAACTACTGCGGTACGTGAGCTGTGCTGTGCATGTCTGTGATATCTTCTACAACTCTACCACGGCAATGCCTTGTGTGAGCTTTCCAAGGCTTGGAGTTGTGCATGAAGGTTTCTGTTTTGTTATGCTCATACGTCGTTCATCGATGTTGCCGTGGAGCTGTGTGTGTATGTGTCTCTGTCTCTCTATGCCTCTGTCTGTGTGTGTGTGTGTGTGTGTGTGTGTGTGTGTCTCTCTCTCTCTCTCTCTCTCTCTCTCTCCCTCTCTCTCCCTCCATCTCTCTCTCTCCATCTCCGTACACTTCACTTTGTACCACTATGATTCCCTCTATGTCTTAAAAATACAAAATGTGGGGAAACGATCTCCATGTGGCCGTGGCTGTTGAATTTATTTTCCTGAGAACGAGAACGTATTCTGTCTCTGCTGCGATGTCCTTTGTCGATGTGATTTCGACGTGAGCTGCGGGTCATTCGCGTTGTTTTTAGACGTGCGAGCCAAATAACGCGAGCTGAACTTTCGCGTCACGTCAGAAATAACGTGAATCTTAACCTCTCTAATAAAAGCTCAATATGGAAGATGTGTATATGCAATATTTATGTTTGTACCATCATCAACAATAATAGAAAACAGGATCACTGCACTTCGGAGTATCCAAACATAAATATGTAGTTATCCTGTCAAGCAAGATTACATAACCCCATGTACTCTTGTGTCAAAGCACAGGATCTTATTCTTACAAGGGAAGAGGCTGCACAGTACACGTATTATCACAATTTATCAGACGTATTCGGAATCTGTGGTGGACAAAGCCCCATTAGACCTTGTACAGATTAGTGCAAAGAAAAACGTGTGATGCGTTGATTCGCCGTACACATGTCGTAATAATCACTGGTGCGTGGAACATTGCATCATAAAAATGACGTCAACTTGAAATTCTGTGGTGACAGCAGGGTGTGCGGGAGTTTCACACTCTTCGGGGGTTATATACTCTAATTTCAGAAATTTTAGGTGCTCACTATTTTTCAGTATGAGGGCAAAAGGCCAGGTTAGGCGAACAGAACTTTTAGGTACAGAGAAGCAGCTCCCTATTGGATTACGTGTGTTAGTGTCTGTTCGGTGTATTGAAACTTTAGGTATGAAACAGACCCACCAAACGTACCGAAAAAAAAGTACACCAACAATTTGTGAAATTACAGTACTCTTGTTGTTGGGTGTTGCCGGTTGAGTGCTGTTCACGGCAGCTATCCTATGCCTAAATATGGGCTTGTATATTCTGATTGTCTGATCGCTGACAGATACGGACGCAGCGAAGCTCTCTCCTGCGCCCGCATGCGCCGAGATCCCACTGCTGTCAACGGATGACACTGCAGCCCAGTCGCCAGCGACGGCGGCAGCTGCTGCTGCTGCTTCGTCAGGAGATGGGAACAGCTCACAAGGCGGCAAGCCACCTCCATCACCGCCGTCCTGCCTGCTCTCGGACATGGCCTGTCTCAGCTCGTATGAGATTGATGGCTTGCGACGGATGCTGGCCGAGCTGAACGTTTCCACGACGATGGTGAGAGTGTGTCCCGAGGAGCTGGGGGATCCTGGGGAGCTCATGTCGACCGTGGAGGTAAGTTGTCGTGTGTGATGTGTGGGTAAAACCGAAGTTACCGAAAATAAATCTCCACCGAAATTTTCCGGTTTTACAGTAGCCTATCTTCAGGGACATACATAACTATTGGCGTAGATTTGCTTAATCGTTATGCCTTGTATTCTCTTGTCAAATGTACACCGTAGATTCTGTTGAACGAGTATGAAAGCCAGTATTCTCCTCTGCAATGTACAAGCATTTTCCTGTGCAATGTATGCTGTATATTCTGTTGAATGAGTATGAATTCTCCTGTGCAACGTGCGCTGTAGATTCTGTTGAACTAGTTTGAAAGCCGGTTTCGCGAGGACAAGGCCACTGGACATTTTATGCTCATACCGGGAATACAATCTGAGGTATGATGTGGTGAATTGCTGTGTGGTACTGCTGCTGCTGCTATTGCTGCTGCTGCTTCTGCTGTTGCTGATGTTGCTCTCCTCTCCATCCCCACCATCTGCCTGTGGAATATTTGACAGTGGCAACATGTACATGTACATGTAGTAACAGGTATATGTTCATGGTGTGTTCTTTCCTTCTGCGTGTGTAGAATCTGCGTGTGTCGCCCGCACCAATACCTGGCAACATTGTGGAAATAGTTGCAGTTGAAACAGAGATTGTATGCAAGTCCTCAGCTGCTACTGCATCTCCAAGAAAGACAGCAGGTAAGACACAATGACAGGGGCGTCACAGGGCGGTTGGGAGTGGTACAACGGGGGTGTCCCCCGGGAGAAAAAAAATCGGATATGTCGGCCAACAGGGCACGTTTTAGCGCTCTACAGCCACAAAGGAGGGTTCTCCTAGCACTTATCAGACAACCCCACTCGTACTCCAGCTCCAAAAATACTTCTCATAGATTTTTTGGTCGTACTTCGTAGGTAGCTAAAGCAAAAAGGAAGCCATTGCCCTCGAAAAAATCGCAAAATCCGAAGTACAAGCGTGCTGCTTGCTGCACCTTCTAGCGCCAGCCGCTGTGCAAAACGTATGTTATTACCACAATGACGATAATATTGCTTTCACAACAATGACCACAACCTAACTGGGTTATCAGTAGGAGCAGTGACACAGCCTTACTGCTTCAAGTAGGATTTAGAAGAGAGTGAAGGGAGAGCAGACCGGGCCGGTCTAAGCAAGGAAGTAATCGGCATCAGAGGTGAGCACGCAGCATCGCAGATTGTCTCGAATTGCGCATCACACCAGCGGCAAAATTGCTCCTGTGCATGCAAGTGGATTTCCTTGCACTTCTCAGTTTGAGAAATGCTCGAATATGATAATTCTGCGTGCGAGTGCACTAGCCCTGAACATACATGTAGGTGACCCGTTTGTGGTGTCTCATAGCCTACCTCACGACCTTCTGCTTTCTTTCTGCATCACTTGTATCTTGCAGGTATATCATCTCGTGACGACCACATTGAAGTCTGAATTTGAAGTGCGAAGATGCTTCAGCAACCACATCGTACTTTTCCATTGCTTTCATTGTGCTTCTGCTGTGCATGTGTGTAACTTGTGGGGTATACATGTGATGACATTGTATGCTGGCGACACGGTCAGATTTTGTCCATGCGTGTAACGTACACCTGCATGTTATGCATCGAAAAGGATCTGCCACTTGCGATCCTGGGACAAGTATCAGGTCAGCTTTGTCTTGTGTGGGCTGTACCAGATTGCTGTTCACTTTTCTATCTGTTGGATATGTGACTTTCTGCAAGTCTCTGGTGTATGGTGGCCACTTCTTTGCTTGTCACTTTGTATGATATTACATTCTGTATTCGCTGCTTTCATGGCGTGGTCTGCAAACTGCAATCCTTGGGCAAATGTCATGTTTGCTATAATGTGCTTTGGCCGTCAGCTTGTCTACACGTTGTAGTTGAATTATTTTGTTCCACAACTGACTTCCTGAAGTACGGTGGCCACTGCTTTGCATGGCATTTTACATGAAGAATTTCCTGTTTGTGTCGTGTGCATGTGCGTATGTGTGCCGTGTGCATCCGCGTGTTTGTGTATCTGTGTGCGGGGTAAGCGAGGTGGGGAGCATTGACCATGCACAAATAGAGAAGCAGCAGATGGATTCATTGCAACTAGAGGCTGCGGTGCATAGTTGGGATAGTGAGGAAGGTAGGCCGTTTCCTTGCGCTCAATGATATTGTGCATTGCACAGCACAGCATGTTGACCTTGCTTACTAACTTTGGATCCTTGCTGTTGCTCTCAGCAACGACACGGAACCTCTCTTTCAACTTCCCTATAGCACACTCCACTACACGCCGTGTCCTTATTGGAGCATAGTTCAAACTTGCTTGAGCTGGCGCTAGATTGGGGTCACTGTAAATTTTCATTACACATGGACTCAGGCCAAAGGCACTATCTCCAACAACATACGGGCGAATGTCAGCATTCCCACATGTCCATGTGCGATAATTGAGCCATTCTCCACCAAGCAATTTGCCTTACTTGAACTGTATTAAAAACAGCAGCATCTGCAACAGAGCCTGGTGCACGTACATCCACAAACGTGAACTAGGCCGCGACTATCTACGCAAACAAAGAGCAAAACAGCAGAGAACTGTTTGTAGCACCAAAAGAGATCACCAAACCTGTCAGGCTTGGTGATCTTCGTGAACCTACCATCAATGGCCCCACCACAGTATGTAGCCTAGGATTATCACCAGGGAGTCGTAAAATACCGGTATTTTACGACTCTCTGATTATCACCCTGATTATTATGATTATGCAATGTGTACTAGAGACGCAACTAACTTGTAATCATCCAAACCACAGAATACACTAAAACTAGCACTGATGGCATTGTGACCTGCAGGTGCTGCACGTTCCTATTAGTACAGAGTTTAGTGTGTGCTGGAAGTACAGTCACAACATTATAAGCACAGGTCGGAGGGCTGTTGAGATTACAAACGCACAGTCAGCTTGCTTGCTGTCTACAGCATTGGGTAATTGTTATTATTATTAAATTTTGAAAGTCCCCAGGATGATGGATGAAGGAGATGGTGGCCTAGTCTTGGCTGCGTGCAATCTCATTTTCGCCTGTCACAGAGTTTAGCCACTAGTGTTTGTTTGTTTACAATAATTGTGCAAGAGTACATTATGTACTGTTGATTGTAGTAAGAGAAGGACAGTAGGCGATGGAAGTGGAGGAAGAAGTGGGCTGCACGCCATGCTCCGACAGCAAAATCTTTGCCTCCAGGGAGGAGCTGGAAGCATTTTTAAAGGAGCAATTGCCACGGGAAAACTTTGTGGTCAGGAGTACGATGAAGGGCTTCCTTGGAAGGTGAGCTATAACGTGTAGTCTGCTGAATGTCCTTACGATGTCAAGTTGTGCAGTTGTCAATGTGGTCCGGAAATTGACCGCAAGTGTAAAACTACTTCCCGCGTGTGTCGGAATTACACTTACCGAAATTGTTATAGAAATAACATAAAGAGGGGAAGGTGAGCGCAACCGAAAATAGCAGTATGCGGACTGTATACAGTAAGATCGGGCGCCGAAGAACGCAGGGGCTCGAGCGCAGCCTAGGAAAGTTCTTAAATTTTTGATTCTAGCCAGACCGTTCTTATTCCCACGCGCGCGGCGAGTCGAGTGTACATGTACATGACGTTTGTCATGTACATGTACATGTACATGTATTGTAGTACTTCTAGTTCTACACTAGTGGGTGTCGTAAAATTTAATAGGAATGACTGTACATGTAGCAGTTACTGTTTACACGTGTACATGGCATGTACTCACCTCCCATACATGTACAATGTATACAATTTTAAAAGTGTTCTTAAATCTGATAATTCTAGCCTGAACTGTTCTTACATTTTGCCGGTTTTCCAGCCTGGGTGTTCTTCGGCGAGGTGTTCTTCGGCGCCCGATCTTACTGTATGTGGTCACCTTGTGTTCATTGTCTTCCAGTGCCATCGATATCCTCGCGGCCAAGGACCTTCGACATGTCTGGCAGCATCACCGAATGTGTGTCCCTATTGATTTCCATGGAGTCCCCTTCTGCGTGCTCGGCCGGCAAGAGTGTCAGTTCGGGAAGGAAAGATGCCATGAAGCTAAACAGGTCGGTGTCGTCGGGGGTTATAATATGAAAATTATATTATTAGTCTGTCTGTACATGTTTGTATGCCATACGCTGCTCCGTGTGTATTTACCTATTCCCCAGAGCAATAAGGCTGTGTTTACATGAAGCGTTTCAACCCGGTCAGATTTCAACCCGCCATGTACACAAAATGAATGGCGCGTTTACATGACGCATTGCGCTTGACCCGGGTTGAAATTTCGCCCCGGGTTGATTTCAACCCTCCCCTTGGGGAAATCAACCCTCCCCCCAAGGGGTGGGTTGAAATCAATCCGGGTCAAGAAAATCGTACAAACGTACTTCTGTGCGTATCTCGCGCCAGGTTTGAACAGCACTGCAGATGCAAATTTCACGCGAACGGATTCACGTGACCATACAGGACTGTAGAAGTGGACTTTTGGCGGCATATCAGTATTTGACCCTGGTCAACTGTCTTCATGTAAACGCTCACCTCTTTTGTCTATCGTACAGACTTTCAACCCGGGTCGAGTTCCGGGTTGAAATTTCTCATGTAAACACAGCCTAAGTTCGATTCTGACCGAGGGGGTGGCGTGAAGGATGGGAAAACGAAATGAAGAATGTACAATGGTATCAGCTGCTTTGCCCTGCGTATCCTGTGTGCATCATTCTGTAGTGTAGTGTGCCATGCCATCATCTGGCTGGACTTTTGTTGTTCTCTTTCTTCGTAGCCTGCGGGCACAAGCGACGCAACGCGGTCACCTGCGGACCAGGCTTCCTCGAATCCCAGCCATGAGAAGATATCGAGGCGGCTCTCTCTTCAAGGTATATTGGAGCCATTGCTACCTTGTGTCACATCCCTGCGCTCATTTAACTGGCCATGACACTTGAACACTCTCCGAACGGTCGTCCTGAAGATTGCCCGAACATTTGGATGACTTTAGCTTTTTTCTTTTAGTGGTTGGTGTAGCCCAGAGACCGGTTGGAGAGTGTTGCGAATGTGTATGGATATAATCAAGAGTACATAACCCCCAAGAGTAATTGAGGGACTATAACAGGCCCCAGCCGTCATTTCCTCGTTCCTGATGATGGTCATAGACTGAAACGTTGAGTGAATACAGAATTTTTACTAAACTGTAAAAAACAGTTTGAAATTTGAGATGTGCCTGTTAGTCCACAACATAATATTTATTCATTACAATATAATGAAGCTGCAAGAAGCGTCCAAACTCATCTTTGACGCTTTTATGTCGTTCTAGTGGAAGGGTCCGGCCTCTTCCCCTATGTAATCATAACATCTCTCTGCAGACTCTGCAAATTCGCGAAATCATGCTCTTCTGTACATGTCAATTGCTGTAATAATGTCCAGGTTCGAAAAAAGAAAGGCTGCATAGCAACAGCGACTACTCACCGAGTTTTGGAGTTTCCATCATTTTCTGTGCCAACGGATGCGAATGCCAGAATGAAAGCAGGGACACTTCAGAGATTAACTGCTGCTATTGAACAGTGCAAAAGCAGTAAGGATTTTTCGAAGTTGGCTACAGAAGAAAGGTAAATAGGTTGATAATGCAGTTGATATGTTTCTATACATGCAGTTTTAGGAGTGGTGAAGGAAACTGAGCCTGTCCATAACTACATGCCTAATCTTAGTAATCAACCACTCTAAACTATGGTGCCTTTTCTTTCCCAGCAGGGACCGTGCAACAATTTTTTCAGACGTTATGCATGTACAGTAGGTATCGGTTATAGCGTGGGTGTTTGAAAAACGACTTTCTATTCTTATTTCCGATATTTCTTACACACGATAAATCAAGTGTGACATGTCATGTGCATGTGCGAGGAGGCAGGAAGATCATCATACATACAAGTTAGTGCTACTGTGCAATGTGCATGCGGCTGGTCACAGTCAGATAGGCTTATAGGCGATTCAGACTACGACCAAAATCACGTCTGAACTTTAATTTCCATGGTGATGCAGTCATGTTTCAAAATTTTATGCACAATCCCTGATCAAATACATCTGAGTCGTAGAAACGTGGTCACATTTGGCCGTAGCCTGAATCGCCTATTACCATGTGGCTATGCAACATGAGTTACATGACCACAATAGTTGAACCTGCAGCACTACGACCCAACGCGAGTCAGATCAGAACTGCTTTGGACGGGCCAATCGATGTGGATTTTGAAAAGTGAGCCACGCGTTTTTCGGGCTCTCCTTTTTTCCCCTTTTTTGCAGCCCAGCCGGCATCAGGCCGGACTGGAAGTAGACTAGATCAGTGATTAGAAATAGAAGTAGAGTAGTGTCGGAAACTTGCCATGCCCGGAGCTACCACGAGAACTAACTCTCGTGTATCAGCCTTGACTGAATCTGAGACGAAAATGTTGGGCTCCCTGCCTAGTATCGAGTCGGATGTATCGGCAGTGCTAAAAAGTCTGGCCGCACTTGTCTCCGAGGCCGCCGGTCGCGAGGATCGCCTGAACAATAGGTTCGATGAGCTATCCAGACAAGTATCTGAGCTGAAGGAGGAGGTAGCTTCTCTCAAAGAATCCGCCATTGCCGCGGCGAAAGCTCCTCAGCCGTGCCAGCCAGGACGTACTACGAACCCTGACCGTACCCGTACTGACCCCCGCACAGCCTGCAGGCAGTGTAGCATGAGTGCGAGTACGAGCAGATCTACCAGCTACAGCAGCGCGCTGAACCAAGGTCCAGCATCCGATGCGCCCCGTACTGAAAATGATGCTCGCCCAGCAGCTAGCCCTGGCCACAATGTGGACAGCGTGAGCGAGAGTGACGCGGATGACGGTTTTCAGCAGCCACGGAGACGAAAGCGCAACAAGAGCACAAAGGTGTTGCAGCCCATCTCCGACGATGCATGGAAACTAATTGCAGATGAGCCCCACAGAGCGAAGAGAGCTGTCGTATATGTTGGTAACCTCAGCAGGGAGACAACTGAAGACCGGTTACGCGAATTTGTTGATTTGCGTAGCAGGGCCGTCAACTCCGACACACCAGTAGTGCTCCACACCTGTAGCATGCATGTAAATGCTAGCGGCTGCATGTCTGCAAGAGCGTTTGTGGATGCCAGCTCCCTGCATATCCTGCTGGCTGCCAACTTCTGGCCAAGGCCACTTTATTGCAGGAGGTGGACCTTCCACACATCCGACACTCACAAGACAGTACCAGGGTCAGCTCAGCCTGGCTGCCCACCAACTGACACGCCAGAGACATCCCCATCCCTGCCCAATCCACTGCAAAGCGCAGGTAGCAACAAAAGCAGCAGCGCAGATACTGCAAGCAACAACAAAAGCAACAGCGCAGATACTGCAAGCAACAACAAAAGCAACAGCGCAGATACTGCAAGCAACAACAAAAGCAGCAGCGCAGATACTGCAAGCAAGCAACAATGAAAATCCTCCTTACAAATGCTGGTGGAATCATGTCCAAATTTGGAGAGTTTCAACACGCGCTTGTATCCTCCAAAGCTGATATTGCTGTTGTTACTGAAACCAAGATCACCGCAGAGAAATTCTCCCTTCACGAGTCAGCCATCCCAGGGTACTCCGGCCCACTCCGGCGTGACATGACTGAACATGGTGGTGGCATAGCAATCTGGATACGCAGCCCATTGGCGTACCATCATCTAGATCAGTACGACTCATCTGTTCACGAAGTAACTTGGCTCACAGTGCAGTCTGCCCATCATGGTAAGATAGTGCTGGGTGCTGTATACAGGCCAGGATCCGCCTCAGACACTGATATCTCAACACTTGAGCACCTCGATGGCATCCTGGATAGCGTCAGAAAACACGGCACCCACACCATGCTGGTCGGAGACTTCAATGTCCACAACACGGCTTGGCTCGGCAGCTCTAAGACCACCCGTGCAGGGGAGTACATGGAGGAACTAAGCGCTGCCCACAGCCTCATGCAGCATGTCCAAGAACCAACTCGAGGTCTCAACACCCTGGACTTAGTGCTCTCTGACTTCACTGGTACTGTGACCACCGGTATCTCGCCGCCGATAGGAAGGTCAGACCATTGTGTTGTCCACGCTGTGCTCGCTCAAGCCCCGCTTGAAAATGAGCCCAGCACACGGAGACGTGTGTGGCGATATGGCCAAGCCGACTGGAACAGACTGCGTGCCCACTACCGTCGCATTGCCTGGGCAGCTGAGTTTCCGGAGGACCCAGAGGAAGCATGCAGCCTTGTTACTAGGCACATCGTGTCTGGGATGCTGCAGTTTATTCCCCACAAGATGCTGGAAACAAGGCCGTCCGATCCGAGCTGGTGGACACCAGAATGCACTGAGGCTCAACGTGCCAAAGAGAAAGCGTGGAAGGCCTGGCGTCACCAGGGGCCCAGCGAATGCCTGAAGCAGTCGTTCATGACAACTGTCACTCAATCTATTACAACCCAACATCGTGCACAACAAGCTGAAGAGCAGACAGTCCGAGAGCGTCTCACACGTGGTTCCATGAGAGACAAGGACTGGTGGAGGAATGTCAAGCGCGCCGCCGGTCTGGGTAGGACTACAGACGTGCCAACACTCACTGATGCTGACGGGCACGAGCACAGTACATCGAAAGCCAAGAGCGAGTGCCTTGCTAGATTCTTTGCTGAAAAATGTAGCCTTGGGGATAATGACATCGACAATGCTGAGTTACCAGCAACACCCTGCACTACCACTCCGGGCCTGCAGCGCGTCCGCTTCCGCGTCTCTGAAGTCCAACAGTGCCTGAAGCGTCTCAACACATCCAAATCCACTGGTCCAGATGAGATCCCAGGACGAGTACTCAAGGAGTGTGCAGCTGAACTAGCACATCCGCTGGCTAGATTGTTTCGCCTGTGTTTTGCAAATGGAGTCCAGCCCCAATCATGGAAAATTGCCCGTGTCGTTCCAGTGCACAAGAAAGGACCCAAATCCATGATGAAGAACTACCGGCCTATATCTCTCCTGACGATCATCTCTAAGATCATGGAAGGTATCATCAATCGGCAGCTTGTGAACCACCTGGAAACCCATCAGCTCTTCTCCTCGTCCCAGTTTGGCTTCCGACGTGGACTGGGCACAAGTGACCTACTGACGGCTCTCCAGCATTCCTGGGCCACTACCCTGGCTGGCGGCGGTCTTGTGCATGCCCTGGCAGTTGATATTGCCGGGGCATTCGACAAGGTTTCCCACCCAGGTGTCCTTGCGAAGGCACAGCAATGTGGCATCCACGGCCAACTCCTGGCTTGGCTAAGGTCGTATCTCCATGACCGAAAACTGACTGTAGTTGTTGGCGGTCAGTCCTCCCCACTGTTCCCGATCAAGGCTGGAGTGCCCCAGGGTAGCCTCCTAGGTCCCACTCTTTTCCTGTTATATGTAAACGATGCAGAACAGTGTTTAGCCCCAGGCTCCAGTCTAGCTGTCTACGCGGACGATACAACACTCTATGCCCTAATCAGAAACCCAGATACCATCGCTGCTGCTTGCAATAGCCTCCAAGCATCTATTGACCGCCTGCAGACTTGGGGTGCCCAATGGAAGATAAAGTTCGAGCCATCAAAATCTCAGGCAATACTCCTTGACCGCCACAGACCATCCCTGGATGTCCCACAGCTCACATTTGATGGCATGCAGGTGCCTGAGAGCCCTCAGCTCAAGCTGCTAGGAGTGTTATTTGACAGTACTCTCTCCTTCCGGGCCCACATCCGTTCCCTTGCCGTTAGAGCCAACCAGCGACTCGGCCTGCTCCGAAAGGCATCTCGGATCCTGGACAGTGCAGGGCGCCTAACTGTGTACAAAGGATTTGTACGGCCTATAATGGAGTACGCCCCTCTCGTCTGGGCAAGTGCGGCACATTGTCACCTCCATCAGCTGGACCTGGTCCAGCGTCGAGCCATGAAGGTTATTGGCCCCTCATTGCTCCCCAGCCTGGCAATCCGAAGGCAGGTTTACGGGCTGTGCTACCTGTATAAGCTGCAATGCATACCAGGTCCAGCTCTGCTTACCAACATGGTACCTCCCCCAGCAAGAGTTAACGCTGCACCCCGGACGCGCCGGCAACGCCAGTCCCTCGGTGGCCACTCTTTCCAACTCGCAACTCCTCTGCCAGCCTCCAGTCCAGAGTTCATCCGCCGCTCCTTCCCATACTTTGTCCTGGAGAGCTGGAACACACTGCCTGCCCCAATCCTCGCCGAACGCCCAACTCTCAAGAAATTGCCGACATTCAAGACCAAGGCCTACCATCACCTCCGCCAGACCAATTGGCTATGGGCCACTGAAGTCCACCAGCACTGAGAATAACCGGTTGTCTCTATTATTATCATTTTCTGTCTCTCTCTCTCCCTCTCTCTCTCTCTCTCTCTCTCTCTCTCTCTCTCTCTCTCTCTCTCTCTCTCACTCTTCCTCTCCTGGGAAGCTCCTCATGCTCATTCTCCCTTTCTCTGTCCATTTCCCCTTCCTGATGCGTAGACCAACTGTTGAACCCGAGACCACTAGGTCGGGGGAGGTTGACCTACCTCATCGGCACGCATGCCACGCTCCTCTGTGTTGTCAAAGTTCGCTTGTCCACTTTTGTCTACCTCCCCTTTTATGTTGCTGGCCAGTGCTTTGTAGTAAAAAAAAAAAAAAAAAAAAAACGGATGTTATTACTACAGGCGATATACTTTGTACTGATCTGGCATGTTTCGCTACACAAAGTCCATTCTTAGGACCGATATATTCTACTGTACGGTAAAATTGCTTGTAAGAATAAATGTGCACATGAAATCCATGTTATGATTATGAAAACATGTGAGAGTTCATTCTCGTACTGTAGTAGGCAGTAGAATTATTCTTTCACATGACCACGCTATAACCCATACACACTGTACATGTACAGTGTACTTTGCGTATAGCGACACTCGGCGGCGGGGCATCAGAAAAGTGTCCTTATTCGTGAAGAGTCCTTATATCCGAAGTATCATTATATTTATGTATTACAGTTATGGAAATTGACCGATGAGCTGATTGTTATGGAAATTCTGTCATTATTCACAACTTGTTGTTATATCCGCAGTCGTTAGTAGCGAAGTCAACTGTAGATCCTGTCTGTTTTTACTGCTTTACTAACGTTGCTAGTAGCTGCAATGAATACATTATTTGCACTGATGATGAAACTTTCAGAACCACGTTCTGGGAGTCTGGACACTGTCTTTGAATACCTCACATAATAATGATGTGTGCTTTTTCTGCTCTCTCCTCATAGATTCCTTCTCCAGTATCCTTTGAGTGCTGGTCAGTGTCACCCTGGTCACGATGTCACCACCATGCTTGGCAAGGCAGCCTCACAACTAAGCCAAAGGGTACACCCTTCTGTTATAGCTCGCATTAAAGAGTGCGTGGTAGCTGGTTTACGAAGCCCGCGTGACATATCCAACGTCTTGAAAATGGAGAGCACAGCAGGCTTGTCCCGTGCATACCATCCTCACGCCAAGGATGTACGCTGGCACGTGTTTTCTTCTTTGCGCTCTCTTCAAATGTCAGTTGTGGATCAATTAGAGCTTGGAATGAAGGTACTATGAAGATGCAACTATAATGTGGTGGCTGCATTCTATGTCTCCGGAAGGGATTTTATAACTGGCCCATATCAACGAAGTAATCCGTCCTGTTCCAAGCAGGATTTGAACCCACTGTTGCATCAAATGTGATTCATGTATGCATCACCATGGACATGAACCATACTTTCATATTATTTTTCTGAAAGTAAGTTATCCCTTTTACTTTCTTTGTAACAATTGACCTTGTGGCTTTTCTCCCTCGTAGCCCTTCTTCTACAGGTATCCAGTATTAAAGACCGCGATCTATTAAACCATCATAAAAATACTCTATATTGGTAATGTGATTTATCTGTCCTTAGGTGGAAAGTTGGAGAGAACATGCGAGACACCCGGATATCACATTTCGTCTATAGGTTGAAGCAAAAGAAGGATCCGACGGACTTCGAGAAGAAGAAGAACGGCAGCAGATGCCGAATGTCTTCCTAGGTAATTGCGTTATGTACATTTTGCCATGGCATCCAATATTCACGACCTATGCCTTCATTGGAGTACATGGATTACAGGTATATGTATATTCAAAGCTGCATCTGTGCAATTCTACTACAACGTAATGATCCTTTAGAGTGGCGGTACACCTACCATCTGCCTGGGTCGTGAGCTTTCTTCCTATGTTTGCTATTGTTTCCTTTAGGGAGTGGGGGGTGGGGACTACGATGAAGCCCTACCAACTCTGGACAACCAACTCAGCACACGCCTCCTATTTATCCACCAGGAACAATGGCAAAAGTGGCTGCTCTCTAAGTACGGCCAGCTTGTGCTAATTGATGCAACATACAGAACGACAAAGTACAATATAGCTTTGATCTTTCTGGTCGTGCCAACGGCAACCAAGTATATGGTAGTTGCTGAGTTTGTCATTCAGAGTGAGTGCGAAGGTGACATTGCGGAGGCTCTGGAGGTAAGTTAGTTAGTTCAGAACTTTAAAAAAATGATTTATTAGTGGGGGTGAAAGTTGGCGTTGAGATCCCGAGTTTGAGTACTCTGATTTTCTCCGATCGATTTTTCGAGTATTTGAGTGTTCTTTATCTCCTAAAAATTCCACACCAAGGGCCTTAAAAAATCAAATTATACGACCCCGATTGAACCATGTGGCAGTCATTTTTCTCAGGTACATGTATATTGATTGGTGGGTCATTTGGGCTCACTCTACTCATGTACAAATGTTCACCACACAGTCTGCACATCAATATCTACTGACTGCTGCTCTGAAACTGCAGATTGCAATGGTCAATGCATGTATCATGAACGAGTACTCTGATTTATTCCGAGTACGATTATTTTAGAAAAAACCCAAGCGAGTACTCGAATGTAAAAGAGAGAAGAAAACACTCGAGAGTTATGTTATGCAGCAACTATCCAGGACTGTAACAAGATGATACAGTCTTGTTACACTCGTGGATAGTTGCTGCATAACTCGTTCTCATGTTTTTGAATTTTTCGAGTGCGGATGCAGTTTTAGGAGCTCCGCTCCTATCAGCCTTTCCGAGTCTGTAACTGTAACCTACAGGAGCTGTGACTTGTACTGCGGACTATGGCCACCAATGAGCATGTCGACCTGGCCCTTCTGACGTTCGACTGTCTACAAAACCTGGCCACCCGGACTGGCATCCCGAAAGCGGACTCCTTCTCACGGCCCGACCTGGTGGGAGCGCTCCGGAAGGAGGGGATTGGGTCCCACCCCATCCTGGAAGGTATGACCGGTATAGGACATGTCACGACTGCTTTGGCCGCATTGTCCTCGACAATAATGGACCTGAATAAAGAAATAGTGGCAATTAGGGTGGGAAGAGATGATGAAATTGCTTCCTTGAAGCTTGAAATTCAACAGCTGAGGCGGGAAATGGCTGACCTACGAGATACTAGCGTACACACACAGCACGCCATGCCACACCAGTACAGCGACGTAGTACTAGGAACCGCCACACAAACTGCAAGTGCACGTGCGAGGCTCAGCACCACAACGGGCAGGTCTGTACCAACGTACGGTACACACGCCGGCAGTGGCAGCCTGCCAGGAGAAACGCGTGTGCCACAACCCAACACTACTACACGTCGTAGTTCCAGCCCCGCAGCAGGCGTGCATGCATCCCGTAGGTCCAGCACTACTCCAAGTCGTAGCTCCAGCCCCGCAGCAGGCCTGGATGCATCCCGTAGGTCCACCGATACTGAACAACAAGTACATGAATGGCAGGAACACCAGGGCAGACGCACTCGAGCCGCCCAGAGACAAAGGCACGCGGCAGATACTAGTAGTCAGTCCCAGCTAGCTCAAAGCATAACAAGGCGGGTGGAAACATCCCGCTACACCAAGCCGGCTCGTGATAGCGAGCCGGCAGTAGACCTCACGGCATCACCCCGGGCCAAACGCAAAGTGTTTTACGTTGGCAACGTGCAGCCACACTGCTCCGCATCATCAATTGCTGAATGGTGCTCTGCCCGAGGAGTGCAGATTCAGGAAGGTGTCATATTTGCATCCAAGCACTTCAGAACTGCCTACGCACGGGTGACCGTCGAGGCAGCTGATGAGAACACAGTCGGTGACAAAGGGTTCTGGCCGGATGCTCTTTCGCACACGGTTAGGCCCTGGCGTTTTGCCGCGGACAGTTTTGACACCAGCAATGCCAACCAGGCAAACAACGTCCTCTCCTCAGGCTCAGCATGATGGCGCGACCACAGCTGAATCCACTGGCTCGGCCCTACTTCCCCCCTTGCCAGGGTAAACTGACCTTGCTTTCCGTAAATTGCCGCTCAATCGTTAACAAATCTGCCGAACTGTCTGTCATTGCTGATTTCAACAAACCTGATGTCATCTGTCTAAATGAAACATGGCTAAATCCAAGCATAGCGCTCACCATCTCCGGTTATACCACATTTCGTCGCGACCGACCACCTCATGATAACAAATCCGGTACGGCAACCAGAGGATATGGTGGAGTTGCGATTCTTGTCCCGCAAAATCGCTTCGGAAGAGTCCAAGTTCGCGACGACCTTGCTCGTCCGACCTGTGAATCCGTATGGGTTGAGCTTCACCCAATCTTAGGCTCCCCGACACCCATCCTCGTCTGCTGTACCTACCGTCCGCCCTCAGTCAAAACCACGGAAATAGACCACTTCTGTGATATGCTAGCTAGTGCTTTGGTAACCGTTCCCATGTCATCGTACCATGTCATAATGGCTGGGGACTTCAACAGTAAGCACAAACGGTGGTGCCCATCGGATTTAACGTGTCCTGCTGGGGCGGCACTTTTTCGCACCCTTACCTGCTTCGGTTTGGATCAGCTGGTGCAGAGTCCAACGCACACAACATCTTCCGGAACACAGTCATGTCTAGACCTTGTCTTCACGAACCAACCCCTGCTGGCGACGGACGTTCACACAGCTTGCGCTCTTGGCTCCTCGGACCATCTCATGGTTTCATGCCAGTTCGCCGTCTCATTGCCCTCGGATCCAGACCTGCCACTTCCTTCTCGCAAACCGTTCCCATATCGCTTCCGTCGAGTTCCCTCTCAGTGCTGGGACTCTATGAACGCTGATTTCTCCTGCCACGACTGGTCGTTTCTGCAACCAGAAGGCTCTCCAACTGTTGACGCCGCGGTAGATCACTTTGCAGCCGTCCTCGAACGAGGGTTCCAACAGCACCTCTCTAACTTTGCTATCGGCTACAACAACCGGAAACATTCCAACCCAACATCCTCGACATCTAGTCCCCCATGGGTGACACGGTCCCTCGTATCTGAAGTGAAGCGCAAGCGTGATCTTTTCAGCATCTACAAGAAATTCCCAACGCCGGTTAACCGGGAGGCTTACCGAGTTCAACGCAACTTCGTCAAGCACCTTTCTCGTACCTCACACCGCTCCTTTCTAAACTCTCTTTCTGCAACACTCTCCTCCCCCGATCGCCCATCACTCCACCAATTCATTCGCAACCAGTGCCGCGGGACCTCCCGCGCGCCAATCCAGTACCTGACGGACTCCCATGGCAACCGCCAGCACGATGTGAAGGCGATTGCAGACACACTGAACAAGCAGTTTGTTTCATCCGGCATTCCGGAAGATCCGAATTGGGTCATTCCATCGCTGTCCCCAGCCCCTGAACTTAGCGCACCACTCACACGCGTCGTTACCACGACTGCTACCGTCTGTAAGCACCTCAAACTCCTGAAGAATTGTAAGTCCCCTGGCGAAGATGGCATACCCAATGAGGTTCTCAAATGGCTTGCGCCATCTCTGTCCTATCCCTTGTGCCTGCTCTTTAACATGTCATATCGTACAGGAGTATTTCCGTCCGTCTGGAAATCTGCTGTTATCGTCCCGATCTATAAGAAAGGCCAACGCTCTCAGGCTGGCAACTACAGACCAATCTCTCTCCTTCCCGCTGTGTCCAAGGTCTGTGAACGTATTTTCTTTGAGTCTCTGTACTGCCACGTCACCCCAGCGCTTTCACCATCTCAATCCGGTTTCTGCCGTGGAGACTCCACAACTTTCCAACTAACACGTCTAGTACAAGACATCTACACCCAGCGGAACCTCAGGCGGCATGTTGGCATCGTGTTCTTTGACCTAGCGAAAGCTTTCGACACCGTCTGGCATCGTGGTCTGCTTGCAAAGCTAGAGTCCGTCTTCTTGGTACACGGTCCAGCCCTGCAATGGCTCTCATCCTATCTTTCCTGCCGCCACCAGACTGTCAGAGTATCTACCTCCCTATCAGACCCATTACTAGTCGTGTCTGGGGTACCCCAGGGGTCCATACTTGGGCCGCTCCTATTTCTACTGTACGTTAATGACTTGCCAGCCCTTGTACCAAATGTAAGTCTTTTTGCTGACGACACTGCTCTGATGTGCTCCGACAGCTCGGCAGACAACCTCACGGCCTCCATGCAGTCCGGGGTCAACGCTACAGTAACATGGATGGAAACCTGGAAACTGAAGCCTAACCTCGCCAAAACCGAGGCCATGTTCTTCTCTCCCTCGCCCCCCACTCAACTTCTGTATTTTCCTGGTCTAAATAGTACACCTATTAAAGTTGTTAACGAGCACAAGCACCTGGGCGTTATTCTCGACCGCCAACTCTCCTGGTCTCCACAAGTCCAGTCTGTGTGCAAGCGTGCGAGTGCGTCCTTAGGTATGCTACAACCCCACTGCCAACACTTGAATGATAACTGCAGAAAACTGTTCTTTAAGTCGTACATTTTGCCTATATTTGACTATTGCGATATAGCTTGGTGCGGGTTGTCTCAGACTTTACTCCACAGACTGGAGGTACATCAACGCTTGCTTCTGAAAATTCTGTTTCGAAAAGACCAAACATTTGCCTCCCTTTGTCTTTATAAACTTGCTTCCACGC